TGTCCAACAGCGTGGGAGAAACTAATCACAATAATAACAATAATAATTGTTTGTATTATTACTATTTGGTATAAAAGCTAATTTCTGCCAGTAGAATAAAAAATAAAATGATAATATAATATAAAACAGTATGTATGTATAATATATATATAAGTTAAATGTGTACAGTTGGTCTCCTTCTACATTACAACATCTATCCATCCGTAAGAGCAGCAGGAGACTGTAGTCCAGCTCAGCTTGAGCCAGTATTGCTCCCCAGTGGCCAAGTCCACAAACTGCAGCTACACTGAAGGGAACTTTATTTCTCCATCAGCTCTCAACAATTCACAATTTACACAAGACAGAAATATATAAAAAGACACATAATCGGGTTTAAAAGTGTAAAAAAGTGCATGGTAGTACGTCCTGATAATAATTATAATAACTCTTACTAAATGCTATTTGTTAATTATGAACAATACATAAAAGATGGACGTCTCCACTTCCAGTTGCAGTAGTGGTCGTGGTTGGCGCCGCAGTTAGATTTACCCTCCGTTAGCAAATGTAAAAACAAAACGACCTCTTCGGACTCGAGGAAGTTGCTCTTCTTCGCTGCTCTCAGATCTTAAACTCCAAATGTAGTTTGTGAGACTTAAAGAGAATAAAACACATTTCTGTGGAGGTCAGTGAACACACCACGACAATAAATAATAAGATACTGCGTCAATAAAACAAACTGATGTCGTACCCACAAACACTTAAATCACAAACAGAACAACAGAGTTCTGAGTTATGATCGTGGGTTTGTCAGCGTCGCTCTGTTGTGGTCAGAACAGCTGATTTTCATTCGAACATCCACGAGAAGAAGAAGAAGAAGCATCAGTACAGACGTGTTCCAGTATGTTTGTTTACTGTTAATTAAATAGTTAATTAATAAATAATACAGTTTGGATTAGCATTTCTGCTTTTATGAAACAGTCCTCTGGTTGACTAAATGATAAACTTTGATATAATTATAGTAGAAAACTCCAAAATGCTCTCAAGGTTCACAGACAGTTATTTTAACTAAAAACAAACTAACATCAAAACAATGTAAGGGAACTTTCAGAAATATTCCTTTTTAGTCTGTTTTGTTTTCACAATACAAATATAAATCACAAATTAAGTCAGTGTCACTTTACTGAAGCTACCTGATCAACAATGTTTTTTTTAAACTTACTTACTAAATGATGTAATCAGTTTAAAACAAAAAAGTGAGTTAAATTAACTTTAATTATGGCTCGCTACCTTAACAGGTTACTGAATCCAAATGATTCAAATTGAGAGTCTAACTCAAACTCCTCTTACGAGCTTTCAGGGAGGGAACAGCTAGAATCCGTTTGTTTGAGGAGAAACTTTAAAAAAAAACAACTGTAAACTAACAGATTAATGTTTTGTCCTAATAAACAATAAATAATTCTATAAAATATTACAATAACAGCAGAATAAAGTCTGTAAAGGCTTTATTACAAATATACACAGAGAGAGAGAATCATAATGTGTGTGTGTGCGAGTGGTAATCAGTCGTTTACGAGAGTCCGGAGGTCGAAGGAGTGACGATATCAGAACGTCACCACTTTGGTCTGTTTGGGTTTCGCTTTCTTCACTGGAACATGAACGTCCTCGTGGTCGGCGCTCATGTTGTTGGACAACCAGGGGACCGTCACCGAGTTCGCTGGAGGGAGAAAAAGATCCAGATATGGTATTCAAAGTCCCTCTAAGATCACATCCTGAGTTATATTGATCCCATATTGAACAATGTCTGACAAAATAAATCACAAAAAGTCAATTTCTTAGTGTTTTTATATCAGAATCCAACCATTGTGTCTCAGCAGCCTCCCAGTGAACACAACCTCAGAGACAGACGGAGGGTTGAAGACAGAATCTGTCAGACTGATCGGTGTTAAAATAATAATTAGTTGTGATCAATAATTAGAGACTCACTTGCAGCCTGGTGCTCTGGACAGTCCTTCTGGAAATGTTCCACTGAACCACAAACCCGACAGCAACCTCCTGCAGAGACACAGAGACCGTCATCATACCACTGTGTGTGTGTGTGTATAT